CCGGGTCTATTTGTAGTCATTTAGTCACAATTAGAAGATGAAAACAAGTATGCAAATAATAGTCCCACTACCTTAAGATCTGATATCGAAATGGATTAAATTATGCAAGCGATTGGAAAAGTTAGAATGTGAATTGAATTGTTCAACTGAGTAAGAATTACAATGGTGGAAATATCATATTTTGTATCCATGATAGTTTGAGTCGTTATTCAAAAGTTTGTTATATTTACGTGTATACAAGTTTATACAAGTCGTAGGTTCTCCTACTTTTTTATGCTTATCCACTGTCATTTTTTTTTCGTGAAACACGCCATAACGCAGCAATTGTTTTATTTAAGTAACTTAAACATTTTCCAAAATGCTAAACAATTACTGACATAGCATCGAATAAAACATAAAAAAGTTACAAAAATAACGTAACTCCGACAAAAGTCTGTACATCGACGCCATTTTATTTGTACCCACTGTTCATATCATCATTGAGAATAGAAAGCAGTTGAATACTACAACTTTAAAAAAAAATCTATCCAAACTAAATGACGTATACAACAAATGTTGTATATTAAATTATGGGGAAAGTAGCCATCAAATCACGGTTACTGGAACCGAGCAACCGTGATAAAATACAACACCGTTTTCACACAAGTCCTGCCCACTCGTCAAAACGGGTCTGTTTTCTCGTCAATTATGAATCGTACATATTTCAATCTGTACACTTTAATATTACAGGAGAAAACGAATTTCTAGTAACCGTGTCTACACGTAAGTGAAATTACTCACCTTGCTTTCAGGCGTATAATGGAAGTTTTCGGTATTAGAAGTCTCTTTAAAAAAAAATTGAAAACAAGAAGTTGAAAGTGTGCAGTGGCGCTAATGACGTCACTATTAGTCGATTTGAGCGAAATGCACAGCGTGCTACTAATTTAATGATTAACACCTTTAGACAATAGCGTTGGAGGACGGTGACAATGGTATCGACTGGCCATGCCAGGGCAATCTGTAGTCCTACTTGAGTGTGTTGATAGCATATATTTATAACAAACCACACAATTCTTATCATACTCGCCAAATTTCCGACGTGCTTAGCCGCTGACAACTAATAATAATTGGTTGTCTGTGGTTTAGAAGAGAGGCAAGTTCGCCAGATGATGTGCGCAAGTTCAACGTGCCATGTGTAACCCGACTGGTATGAGTATAACTACTGCGCCCTCTATCTTATATCCGCCCATGCTCGCAGTGCTGGGAAGTTTACAGTAGGGGAAATTATTGAACGACAAAATCGATCATCATCCGCCTGCACAATGTTGTTCCGTTCGGACATTTCTCCCTCCACAAGTAGAGTGCTTTGCCGGAACATTTACCTTGAAAACTCAAGATGAAATCGATAGTTTAGGTGATTAGGTGATCTCTCAACAACAAAAATGCACATGTGTGTGTGTTTTAAAATAAATTACAGAATAGTCCTCAACAAAACTTAGAAACATCACATAAAAAAAATACAGGCTCTAAAATTATGTCTTTTGCAAAACAATTCAACCGACAACCAGTTTTACGCCACAATTTCTTGATGGCGCCTCAGTTCTACGCGTTATTTTACTGTGTTCAAAATTGTTTCAAACTGCGCATGCACACACAAAGTGGTTTCCCAAAATGCGTAATAATTAGGTAACTTGCCACTGATAAAAGTTACTGAAGACATTTTGAGCAATTTTCAGCAATAGTAAAATATCAACGTGCCTCTGCATTCTCCATTTATTTCGCAACTTAATATAATCAAGGTCAAGAAAAAACTGTCGTTACTTGCAACAGTTTGCTGGAGTGTGATTAAAAACGTGTCCAAATAACATTTTTACATCAGTTTTTTTATTTTATTTCTGCTAGTAATTACAAGGATACTGCAAAGTATGCATGAAGACAGTACAGCGGGAGTACCGACCGACGCACAGCGGAGGTCGATGCGACCATGTACTGTCTGCGTGCATACTTTGCAGTATCCTCATAATAACCTTATTATTTATACATCTTTTCCTCCCAGGAATATATTATGGGAAAGCCGAAATCCAAAACGTTTAGAACAGATTTAGCGAACTTCTTTGTGTCGGGTCTGGTTAAACCCTGGGGGCAGCCATGTTTGTTTTTATTATTAGAGAACACTTACGCGCGTAATCGTTCCATTTTTGGAATTCGCATTTTCTAATATGTAGGATGAAAATACCCACTGAAATACCAAAAAAATACGGCACGCTGTAACTTATGGTGTTACGGTGACCGATGTATAATAATGATAGAATAAGTCAATTTATAACTATCATGTTGTGGATGTTGATTAAAGGAAATCATTTTGGCACAGTTTTACTGAAAAGACGAGTGAATATTAATTTATGCAAATAAGGCAATTTGTTAAGCCAATCGTGTTATGCAACTCCCCCTGGTGTGCTTTATAGTTGCATAAAACAGCTCAGCATATTTATTACCTCAAAAACGTGGTGACAACTAGAGGACGGCAGAATAAACCAGTTGCTCGAGTACTGTTTTTTTTTTTGCATTTCTGGCTACAATGTTACTAATAACTTATTTTAGCCAAAAAGGAAAATAGTCTTGTACTATGTACTAAACCAAGCACTTTTGCCTACTGTCCTTGGTAAAATTACAGTTCTGCTATTCCAAAGCTTGAATGTACAGATGCAGACATGACTCCAATACAATGGTGGAGCACGAAATCAAGTTTGGCCGCGAGAGCTGTCAAGTCTCTGCACGATGACCTAGGTAACAGGCCCGTAGTTTTTTTTTTTGGAAGTGAATTTATGATCGTAGATTAGAACATAATAAAACAAACAGTATTAATTAAAATAATTATCATTGTTTAAATCACTTGACTCCGTGAGGTAACTATCAGAGTAATGTAATGAGTAATGCATAGTAATGAGCATTTAGGTGGCAACGAGCTTTAAATGTCAATCGTGAAGTTATGCCGTCTCAGCTCAACAGCAGCCAATCAAAACAGGTTGTTATAAACAGGCAAGCTTTTATTCGGTTTTTCCGCGATGGTGTAATGAAGATCACGTTCAAGCACCTGATGTTAAATATTAAAACAACATTGAAACAATAATGTAATGGTAGTCACTCTATGAATGATGTGGTGGTCCTGAATAGGGCAGTTTGTCTTGTGCTAATGTTCGCTCAGTTAGTAAAGTGTGGGGATCGAACGGGATTGACACGACAACACGACACTGTACTTTCCTAGTTTGGTTCATTTGTTTTGCATTCTTCAAGTTAATGATGGCATATATAATGTTTTGTTTCATGTGTATCAGCCAAATGTAGTTAACTTATTGTATTAGTACGTTTAGCCTCTGTTATTGGACAATAGTGTACAGCTACGGGTTGATCATACCGTTAAAAAAATGCCGGAGATTTATCACCATGAGTTGTATAGGTCGAAGAGCTTCTTGCAGCCAACAATTTACCCCACAGTGTTGCTTCAGCACTGAAACTATGCAATGAATCATAAATTGCAAACATATTTTTTTTTACACTTTTTTTTTTTTTTTTTATGTCTCAAAAAATTTACTATATTTTAGTGGGTTCATAAAAGAAGTTGTTTTGTAAACTACAAGTGTACATTATTAGGTAAAATAAAATATTTGATTGATTGATTGAGTTGTAGTCATTGAAGTCTATTGAGACCGCAATCTGATTAAAATAAGATCCTGGTTGGCTTATTTTTTTTTTATATAATTACTATAATTATTATCTATTTTAATTATTTACTATAATTATTATTTATTTTAATTATTTTTGACGTT